AGGCCCCATTTCAGAACATACATTTCAGTCATATACATTGCCACTATTTCGAAAATTCTGGGCATAACCCCATCTTTGAAAAATCATATAAAATCAACCAGAACCCCAACTAACAAGATTTCAACTCTCAACGAAAGCTTATAACATGTACTACAAGTTTCATGTTGATCATATTTTCACATAGTCACATTTAAATTGTCAAAAACAGCCCAACATCATGCTTCACAATTCTGCCCGGAATTTCAAAAACTGCTCGCAGTTACAACTTCGAAAATTCATAATAAATTCAATTCAACTCTGAATCATGAAATTCCAAAACTCACAGAAACCTAACTCAAAGCACTACAAAACTCATGAAGAACACATAACCAGAAGAACAGCTTTTAGGCCACGAGAATCTGAGCACAAACAGAGATTATAACGAGAAGTTCCCATACGATTTTCAGCGCAAAACATAATTTAATGTACATAGCATCAACAAGTAACATATAATCACAACATACAACTCAATTACGCGCATATAAACTATGAGGAGGTCATTCCTAACATGATTTTTAACACAAATTCACATAAACTCATATAATCACCACACAACACGTTTTAAAGAATTTCAGTCGAGCAATAATCGTCAAGTTCAATCATATAAGCATGCTTTTCATAACATCAATTTTTAACATCTCGAGTCATATAGAGCCACAACATCATGTTTAAGTACAAATTCATACCTTTTCCAACCGCGGCCTCACAGCCAACGCGTAGGATATGCACGCGATGTCGGAGCAATCCCCTCGTCTTATGAGCGACGTCGTCGTCTTTCATCCATGCATCGGTCTTCAGGACATACGCTCTATCTAACATACGAGAATTATCAACCATCGTCCCCCTTGAGGCTTAGCCACTCTCAAGAGTTACGACGGTGATACACATTAGATTCTTCTAAACTATGGGGGGGATCGATTTGTAATGCATTCGCGGCATCTGAATGACACACCCAGTTTTCAACGACTGAGGTTACAATTCCCCGAGTGATCTTATACACTAGAGATTCACTCGGTACTTGACCTTTCTCTTTCGAGATGGGTCACAAATGGTCCTACTCTAAGGACACTAAACGAATCTTATAGCGGGAAAATGCTATAAACATCACTTATCTCAAAAATAAAATACTGGAACTCACAACTAGGAATCTCTAGAGTCCGAACTTAACTCTATATCACTAGAGTTCAATGTCAAACACTAGAGTTCACAAAACCTGAGGTGGATAAATTTCCTAAGCCCCAAAACATCATATATATATATATATCACTTCATGAGTAGTCTCATTCCTGCTCATGCAAAACCTCATAAGCAGTTTCATTGCTACTCATGTAAAACATCACAAGTAGTTTCATTGCTACTCGTGCAAAACATCACAAGTACTTTCATTGCTACTCGTGCCAAACATCACAAGTAGTTTCATTGCTACTCGTGCAAAACATCACAAGTAGTTTCATT